CGCAAGAATGTTCACATACTGTACAGGCTTCAGCACTCATGGCTAGCATTAGAAGATGTCAAACTTGTGTAATATTTAAATGTTAAGTACCAAGAATAACTAAAAGGCTGTAGGCAATGTCTGCTTCCGAGTATATCGTGGAATAATTATAGAAGTTGGCAATGAAAAAACATAAATGGTCTTGGGGACTCATATCGTGACCTACCGCCTAAAAATAAAATCCTAAACTAAATGAGAATCTTTTTTTTTGGTACTTTCACTTCATTACTCCCTAGGACAGCTATATATCTTTCTGCATACATCACATTTCAGAAACATGCTTTCCAATAAAACCATTTGTATGTGTCTGTTCTGATACCAGAATTTAAACGATTGTCTTAATTTGTTATCTGTCCGACTTGTAGCTGTGTCTTCTCGACAGTGACTGCAGTTTAGAGTAAACTCTCTGACTTTTTTCCCAGGAGCACAAAGATTAGATCAAGACATCTTGGCTCTCGACCAAGGAGACTGTCCATCCTAACGAACATCAGTCTGGTTGATAAAGCGCCTGACTGAGGACCTTCACTTGAAATGTGGGGTTGTTTCAGAAAGACAAAAACTCTGCAAGATACATTATTCCTCATCACATTGTATATGTAAGCAAAAGCATGGCAGCAACTTTGGACAAAAGTCAGTGTATTAAACATGTGTATCTTGCCTATTGAGCCTTCAGTCATGAAGTGATATCTTAAAGTCTTGTGCCATGGTATATTTTCCATGTGTTTGTTTTAACTGTTTGTAAACAGAAAAAAAGCCTTCAAAACTACAGACATTTTATAAAGCCTTTTCCTTTCATTTAAGTAGCAGTGGAAATATTGTGTGACTCCTTCAACATCTCACCACGAAAAAGCCTGAATAAGACTTATAGACTAATCAACTGTCAAATGATGAAATGGGTACACAAATGCAAACTGCTCAAATGTGGGCTAATGTTTTAGCTGGGCTTAGAGTAAATCATACAGAGTTTTCCCTATATAGTTGGCCTTATAGTCACTAAATATCACGTATTGCTTAATGAGTGCATAACATAAATAAGCCAAAATAAAAGCACACCACTGGACGTAAATATATTTTCAATAGGCTGATCCTAGAGGCATTAAACAAGGCTTGAAACCACAGATTGAAAAACTGGAGGAATTTCAAAATTGTCCCACAGGGATTAGAGATTAGGAATTGATGCTGCAAATATTATAAGTGCAATGTGTGCATGGAATCAAAGTATGCAAACAAATTCAAAACAGCCTGGTTCGAGATGTGAATTCAACAAACCATGCTGTCAGCTCCACAGCTACATCAGTGATTGTCACCATTGCAGAGGACATGCAGTCCTTAGAAGGACAATTCAAGCCTCTCATAAAAAGAACAGCTGGAGCATAACACAAATGATCTGTAGACAGAAATAATCCTTTACTCCCTTTAACCATGGCGGTCAAACGGTTTGATAACCGCCATCATGACCCCAACACCTGCCTTACTTCCTACCATAAAGCAACTCATCCCTAAGTCTATATACAGGTTGGTGTCTCCATAGCATTCTGTCTGTGCTAGCTGAGTGCAGGGACCTCGGTGGGGGCCATGGGAACTGGGCTGTGATTATTTTTAGCGGGTGGGGGGCTTGGCAGGGGCCACTTCTTCGAGGCTTTATAGGAATGTCTAAGGTCACCCTCTGACCAGAACCTCTGCAGTGGGCTGAGGCTGGAGGTTGGGAGGCTCGCTCAGGCTGACGTGGGACATCTGCAGAGACGAAGACACGAGCCAATTAGTTGGAGGGTCTGGTGAGCAGGCCCAGCAGGGACAGGAAGGAAGCGGTGAGCAGAGGAAGTTAGGATGTCAGAGGAGGACCAAATAGGGCAATTCAGAAAGGCCTTTTGGTGCTTGTTGACGAAAAAAGGGGCAAAGACTATAACAGCAGTGTTCAAGCTGATATTCCTGAGAGGTTTGCTGGGGAATGCAGAGAAGGAGAGGGGATGTATAGTTTTAATAGTCAAAGATCACATCCTTTCTGTAGTAAGTCTACAGCTGCTACAACAGATTTGTGTAGATTCTGTTTTCAATTTGACTCTTTGCCGTGTTGTGCATCTATCAACTCTATGATTTTCTCAAGGACGTAATTATTGTTGTTTATATGGGGCTATTTGACATCAGATCTAGTAGGAAATGCACAGGTGTTACAAATAAGGTTAACAATTATTGTGTTCTTTTCAGGTGAATTAGTCAGCAAATAAGTAAGTTCTTACTGGTTTGACACACTCAAATTGTCCTACATCAAAAGCGCTTATTAAATTGCATGGTCTGGATCATACTGTATTCTGGTTGATAATGTTACACCCACATAAAAGTACACAAAGGCAACATATGAAAAACTAGAAGGGCACTCAGAAGCGCAGACCTGAACCAAGGCAAATACCCTCTCTCAATGTTAACAAATTCCCAAATTATGCGTTTATCCTCCTGGTGATATGCAGTTCTACGTTTATTGAGATTTTTCTTGGCAAATGCGTAAAGATTTCACCAAGTTTCATGAAAATCGGTACAGAACTTTTTCCACATTCCTGCTGACGAATAAACCAAACCGGAGCAGAGACACAGTAACGCAGAGCCTTACTCCAGGCATTATGCTACATAATTCATAAAGACTGCAGGTACGCCCTACAATGCATCTTCTCTTCCTGTGGAAAAACAGGCTCATACAAAAGAATACTGAACACATGATAGTGTCAAATGTTCACAACAGATCCCTTTTGAAGCACTCTTCTTTCACCATCTCTTTATTGTTGTCTTACGGCGGCCTCGTATTCAGCGGAGTGTTGCGTGCCCGCTCCCTAACCCGATTGTTTGCCCTCGCATCAAACTTAAAATGCCCCGAGGGCCGTCTGTCAGAGCCGAGCCCACAGGCCAAACCCCACTGTGCAGCCTCTGTGTCTGCGTCCACACTCTGCCGTCAGCACGAGGATCTCTACATGCTCACAGCGTAAAGCCCACACAGTTCACCCAGTGGAGAGTTATACAAAATGACGTACAGGTTCCCCTGATACAGAAGCCTCCCTCACTGAAGGGCTCAAATAGAGCGGCACTATTAATGTTGTGTGTATTCACTGAGATCATGTAAAGATGCCATGATCAGTGCACAGAGTGATACTGTATGGTGGTTCATATTTACATGATAACAAATATCTAGATAAATATGGAGGAGGGAACCACGTTTTTAAAGGTATCGATTAAAGGAGGTGATTTCCATTCATCCAACATAACCTGCTAAACCATGAAGTAAACATACTCAAAGTTAATGTCATCAGACCAACACCCATCATATCACATTCCTATGGCTTAATTACTCACAATGTTTTGTTCACTATAAAATGTTCTGTATGTCTCTTTAAACAATGAAATGTCAGCGCACAGACGGGCGTGGTGCAGCATTTCTCCAGATTCTGCAATTCCAGTTTTCAAATGAATTCAATGAGAGTGAGCACAGCAGCAGTGACAGCAAATGAGAAAAACAGACACAGCTACAGGGGAAGCTGAGGAAAGGGGAAAACCGGCATCAACTGCAGGAGCTAGCAAGCTAATGGGCTAATAAAGTCCAAGTATAGCCTGCCTACACTTTGGCTGCAGTGGCAAGCAGCAATTGAAGGAACAGGAAGCTAATGGCTAGTTGAGTAAAAGCCACAGAGGAATGCACCAGGGTGAATGTGTGTGTGTGTGTGTGTATGTGTGTAAGAGAGAGAGAGAGAGAGAGAGAGAGAGAGAGAGAGAGAGAGAGAACCATCCCTTCCGCTGCTTCCCTGTATACAGCTGGCACTGCCCATGCACAATGACGTCATACTGTGTGTGTGCATGTGTGTGTGGTTTGGTGGCATTTTTAGGCTAACAAAAGGAAGCCACAGCCACCCTCTTCTCGCTCCACCACACCCCAGAGCCCTGCGTGGTTTACAGCCACGGGGTGTGGGTGAAGGGGAAGGGCACTTGAGTTATGTCAACCTGGAAAGAGTGATGGCTTTCAGAGCAGAGATACATTGTGTTTAATGACAATCGCACAATGGGTGTGGTTTGAAGAGCAGGAATTACGTTTATGTAGACTTGGACATCAGCTTTTTAATCACAGACACAGAGAGAGTGTTGGCAAACCATCCTGAGAGTAAAAAGTGAATGGCGGACAGATGTTGAAAGTTTCCGCACAAGGTGTTTTCTCTGTCAGCACACACTACATCTTTGTCACATAGGCTAGGAATGTTGCTGAGGAAGGAACCGGGGTTTGTCACACCCATACAGATCCACTCCTCTCCACCCGTCTGTGAGCTGTTTGGGATTGAAAACAAACATCCACCCACTCCTCTTTTACCCCCACTCAGCATGGCCAAACACAGCTGCACGGCTTTGGGATGTAGACAGTGACATGGAGGAGTAGAGGAGAGGGATGGGGGCAGTTCTGACACTGAGGTGGCAGGTCACTGGCTACTGTAGAGGCGATGACAGATGATCACATTCACCCTGACTCTGTGATACACTTCAGAGGAGCTGCTGGTTGACCAACAAAGCACTCTGCAGATTCACTTTGCCAGACACAGAACAAGAAAATCTGGCCTTTGAGAACACACCTATTCTCAAGTTGCTAGTCTTCTTTGGTGTCAAATAAAACCCTGAAGCACATAAACACTCAAGCTCCAGTCTTCACAACATAAAGCCAACTCTGTTTGAACCCTCAAATATATGTGAATAGGAACTACAGGCCTGTGACTTCAGCAATGTTGAAAAATATAAAAAGGCAATGTCCGACGACTTTTCCACTTCAAAACATAAGCTCAAAACCCGCCTGAAGAATAGCGTTTATCAGCGGTAAATTGGGCTGACATCTCCATTATAGACTCATGTTACAGTAGGAGATAATCGAGATAATCTTCCTTCACTAGTGACCTACTTTGTCTTCTGCAGCAGATTTGAGGAAAACTCTGGATTCTTACCTCATCATCTGGTTAGAGGAGGATTTCAAAATCCACATCCAAGGCAGGCCATACATAGGAGAGGAACAGAAACACAATATTGTCAACATTTTGAAAATATATCATCTGAAAACTAAATGTTTGGTTAGTATTCATTATGCGTATAACATGCTGGTAATAAACTGAGAAACCACTGACATGCTGACATGCTGAGGTAACATATGGGATAGCTTGTGACCTTTTTGTGGTGAACACGTAGTATTTGAAACCTGGATCATCCAGTTTCAGTATCTGCCTGACATTTATTTTTCAAAAAAGGGAAATCTTCAACTTGTTTGGACACGACATGTCACATAAAACAAGTCATGAGACGGTAAGATCCTCACGCTAGTTAGACATATGATGTGAAAAACAAACCATATTTATCAATATATGAGCCAAGAAATGTATTTTAATACTAACTTCTGATGAAGACTGACTTAAATATATGTCTTTATTGACGACTAGAAGTTTAATAGTAAGAAAACCTCCAAATAAATGCAACTTTTGCACATCTCCTGACATATTACTGGAGTGCTTTACTCACACAATTACCATTTGTATATTAATTACTCACAATATTGAAGAAAACTTGCAAAAAGGTATCAAAGGGCTTTGATTTACAACAACAAAACTGTCCTAAACTATCCGTTTACAAGCACTACCATAACTGCAGAATTATCCCAAACTAATTGATGTGTCACTATTTTCAAATCACATGTATTTTCGCCTGAACCTTACTATTTAGAACACTTCTGCATAATCTTGTCTGTGTGCGTTAAAAGTGTTTTACCTCAATTCAGTTTTTTTAGTCTTTGATCACGGTGGAGGCATGCGAGAAAATCAAGTTTTCTTCAAGAATTCACGGCAACATGGCGCGTGAGTAATTGATGTACAAAGGGTCGCTTTGGGGGTGAAGAGGGTATCGTATGTCGGCAATAAAGCTTGAGTGATGATGTCCCCAAATAAAAGGGTGCAGGGGCTGCTGGTAGGGTGCAAAGACACAGGACATTATTTATTACCTGAACATACATTTGGAAAAGTACAATTTCCACACCCTCCTGGTAAAGGTCATGTGTTTTGGTTTCAGTTAAAAAGCAGGAGTGTGGCATGTTAAGTAATGGAACAGGCACTTAACTCAAAGTCCTTTCAGATCAGTTCCAGTAATTTGTCAGAGGCGGACGCAGGCCCAAATTATTCATGATGTTTCCCATTTACTGATTCTTTCAGTTCTTAAGAAGCTAAATAAAATCCTTTACTTCAGAGATGCCAGTTCTAGGAAACTTCCTGGCAGTATTACAAATATTGGTTGACTACTTTAACCTCAGCACAATCACTGTCTGTCATCTCACAGAGGATACGGTGCTGAGACCAGGGTCAGGGCACTGTAACGTCATCATAACCTCTGCCACCATTTTAACCACTTCAGGAACAGTTCAAAGGTTACAGCTGACAGGCAGCGATACAGCATTCCCTGCATATGGACTATATATAATGTATGAGCTGCATATTCCGACTGCTGCTGCTCTTTAAAACATACTTAACATCAGTATGCATCACTCCAGATGCACTTTGAGTGAAATTACTTTGAAACTTGCAAATAAGGCTCCTGTGCACTGTTGACAAAGCAAACGAATAAACAGATAAAGCCAACATCCACAAGCGCAACTCTCCAAAAATGGCAGTTGCAGAACGTGGGGTCAATGTTGACTTCCTCTGCTGTAATGGCTACTTGCTTGACTTGCTATTTGTTTCTTGTGGTTGGTGTCTTGACCTACATGCTGAGGTCCTCCACCAGTGACGCTGTCATGGCGGCCACAGACAGCGGCAGGGATGGCAGCATCTCTCCACAGGGCTTTTCCTGAGGAATGTTAGCTACTGCTGACTGTGCCTCCCATGATCCACACTGCTCCACTTCTGACTGGGTGCCTTTCAAACACTTCTTCTTAAGGGACTCTAGGCTCTTGTGCAGAAAAGGAACATGTTGCTTTATTTCTTAAATGGGTTATGGGCTCTATATAAAGCAGGCCTAGATTGTAAGTCGACCTACAGCTCATTGGAGATTACATCTAAAAAGAATGTGTTGAAATGAATGTCTTGCTTGAAAGGTTTTTAATTCCATGACTGACATGTGTGAACAGTTCTGCAAACACATAATCAATGAAGAAATGTTGATAGGATTTTCCAGCGAGCAGAACAGGCATTAGTAAGACAAGAAAGTCAGACATGGAAAAATAATGTTTGAACTTATCACCAAGATGTCAGATCTGCTAAAGGTGCTAAAGGTGAATTTCAGGGCGCAACATTGTATTTTCTGTGACCAAACAAGTTAACCAACCACATTGGGAAGTATCTCTCAACAGGGATTTAAAAGGTATCTTTTTGTCGTGGTAGTTTCATGGTTGCTGGTTAAAACCAATGCAGTAATAAACCAGATTAAGATATTTTCATGTACTTTAGTCTTTGTTTATGAATACAGGACCAATGTGTGAGCTAAAGGGATCAATTGGACACATAAATGGACACATCTACTACTGATCTTGGAGGATTCAGGCTCTCTCTCAAGTTAGGTTTAGGTGATAAAACATAATCATCACATCTGAGGTGCAGCATGATCAACACATGCAAAGAAAAGCACATGAGGCTCAGCACTACGTCGTTCACTGTCTCCGAAGTGAGAGCTGTCATCACCTCCCATCATCACCCTGCTCTATCTCCACCACCACAGCAGCAGTATACCGCAGGTCAACAGTTTCAGCAAGGCAGATGTTTCAGTGTTCTCCATATCATGACAATGATGTGCCTCAAAATAAACTACGTCATTTGAACAGACCGGGGGAGATCATGAGGTGGGGACAGGCTGGGAGTTTACATAGTTAGACATGATGAGATTGAGGTGGTCTGTGTAGGATTCAACAGGAAACTGAATATGTATGATTATAGAGTAAGAGCTAACTTGATTAAAATGTATAGGCCTACAGATGATATAAGCTTATTGCAGATAGATGCCACATTGTCAACCAGAAGTCGATGACAGCTCCTTATGTGTCATTAAAGAGAACAAATTAACCTCAACTTTGGGAAAATTGGTCAAATTGTCAAAATGTTATTTAGGTACAGTACTTGAGTAAATGTACTTTAACTTTCCACCACTGTGCAGGGTGAATAGAACAACAACAGTGTGGTGATGGGCGAGTCTTTCAGCCCTTGGTTTGTCAGTATGCTATCCAGCTAACATTATTTCTTCGTGGTCCAGAAATAGTTTATTGTGGTGAGTCTTAGTGCCACTCTTGCATAACTGCAGAATTACAGTGTGCTGCTCTGCGTGTCCCATGGAGGCTGTTGAGGGATTCTCGTTTAGCAGAACGAAGTGTACCCTCTGCTCCAGTGAGTGTTAACATCTCCCAGCACACATACAAGTACAACTCAATATACTGCCATCATCGGCTTGAAAACCCTGGATAGATTTTCAGTTGTAGGCCGATAGAGTGACGAGTTGATGTATTTGAACGGTGCATGCTAGCTCCGTGTGTCAAAATCACGATTTTAATGAAAGGTGTAGGATATTGTCAGTCCAAATGTACGACAGTAGAGTAGCTTCACTGGAGTAATAACACATCCCACATACAGTGTCAGATGTGAGGAAACTCACCGTGGTTGAAGATTGTGGACCGAAACCGGTTGTTGGTGGACGGATTTTCCATCTTTAAAAGTTTCAGACCTTCGTCTTCTTTTTTCCTCTTTTTCCTTCTTTTTCTTCTTCGGTATTTCCTTAGTTTCCTCTCTCAATCCCAACACAACTGCGGTGAAATGACAGCCCGTGCGTTGTGTTGGACCGTCCCACTTGAGTGTGTGTTAGTCTGTGTGTTTGGTAGCAGCACACACTCAAAACACACTAATGCACTCACTGTCGTTCAACGAGGCAGCCAGACAGGTGACGTCACGAGCCGTTGCAGCAGTGTCGGAATGAAAACAATCGCACGTGGACGCGATGGGAGAAGAGTCACATGCACCTGCAAGAAAAATGAAAATATCGAACCATTCATATATCTTTGCAAAGATTAACAATGGCGGTTGTGGACAAGTCATTGTTAGCTAAAATCCCACAGTGATGGAAAGAACCATTCAGATATGTTACTAATCCGCAGTATACAAAGACTCCATTAGTCTACAGGTCAGAATCTAGTAAAAAATAACAACAGAAATAGCATAATACTATACCTAAGGTGATTTAAAAAAAAAGCCCTTTTTAAAAAACATTACATTTTATAATAATGATGCTGAATTAATGTTGTAATCACATACATGGTGCAACTACTTTACACAGCCTTTACATAGCTCTGATAACTCTGTTTTAAATACTGACATTTTCTGACCTTTTAAGTGCTTTTACTTTTAATACTTCAAGCTATTTCTGCTAGTTCTTTTACTTAAAATAAAACATATTTTGAGTGCAATACTTTTACTGCGGAATAAAGTATGTGCATAATGCCCACCAGAGATTAGCAGCTGTATTTATTTTGTATTATACTATGTTGTACTTATATTATATTTGTATTCTTTAATCTACCATACAAATAAAAAAGCAGATAAATAGTGACATCTAGTGGTCTATTTGTTACTATATTTCCAAATAATTCATTATTTTGGATAACTAAACAGTCTCTTTTCTCCCACTTTATTGTAGCACATAAATGTATTGACGATAATGCAGTGATATTCTGAGTGGACTGATTTTAAACACATTATCGGAGCTGTCCCACTTTGTTCTCTGTGTTTGCTTCAGTAGTACAAATGTCAGGAAGGCTAATGATAGAGTGAACATGAAGAGAATAACCGTGTCTGAGAAACATCGTCATTAATCAACACGTTGAGTCTTTGGCTTGGTTTAGAAGCAACAGTTTTATTTTTAGCTGTGACAAAAAAAAAAGAAGAAAACAGTCGCCTCCTCAGAGTCTAAATGTTCAGGTTCAGGATTAAAGTGCAGAATTGTTTTCACAGCTTGTGTGTAAAAAAAATTAAATAAGACAAAAAAAGAAATATAATATTAAAATATCAAAACTAACAATGGAGATCTGGAAATTATAAATATGACACACCACAAGATGAAATTTCATACAACATATTATCAGCAATGATATTCAATCCACTTGAATCAGGCTTGCACTTAATGATACATATAAAAGGAAATCAGTTCACGTTTTCGAGTAGTTGGCAAGGCTAGCTTACAACAAAGGCACAGCAATGTTCAGAGGTAACGATCCTTTGCAAAGAAGTGCTGCGGCGACATTCTCATTGATCCTAACACGTCCTCACAGACACACCTGACATGCTCGACGTGGCCAGACAGAAACATGGAGAAGCCACTCGTGTGCAGAAACATGCCCACGGTTTTGCAGAAGCACGTTTTATGTTATCAGCCTACACATTGAAATAGGGTACATGCTATTTAAGTCTCACTGTTACTGTTGAATTCTGCTTTCCTAGTAAGCTGCTGAATTAACAGAGTTGTGAAGAAAGCTTGAGAAAAGTACGGCCCTGAGCCAAAGGAGTGTGATGAGGAGGTGAGAGGTGAGATAGGCCAGTGCTCTACTATCAGAAAGACCAGCAGTGGTTACAGCCTCTGTGGGCGTCACATACGAAACCAAGCAGTCAGAAACAACATCATTCACAAAGGACCAGTCTGTAGGCAGCAGGCAGACCTGGGACATCCTCTTGGTAGCAAATACTTTTCAAAAGGCTTGAAAATTTAAATATAGTTATAGATATATGACTTTAGATCACAGAGGGGTCCAGCAGGCTCCAAAGCCGTATTTAAAAGTCGATCCATGCACAAATGCATCTAGATAATTCGAAACAGTTTGCTATCAAGAGGATGAATTTCCCAGATACCCTTTTTACAGGTGAAAGGCTCCATCAGTGTCTTGCATTCATATATCAACCTGAACCGAGATAATGTATTTCCTTATCACAAGTAGCCCAAGAGAGGAAATTAACAAACATGGCTTCATCCAGCCATTTGGTAATATAGTGCAAATTAAAGTACTCAAATCTATACAAAAAGATATCAGTGGTTATATATAAAAACAGATGCTGTGTTTTTTTCCCCCCCCATTTCAATTTAAGCTTGACTTTCTCTGTTCATTTTTTTAAAATCTTTCATTCTTTGTTTTCTTATTTAAAATTACAGCATTTAGAGACAAAAAGAGCTTGGTTGAAAAGCTGAACAGACCGAGCTAGTACTTCATGCAGCTTGTGAAAACAACAGCAGGAAATAAAAAAACATAAAAAAAGATCTGATCAGAAAAAGAAAACTTATGTCAGAAGGTGCCAGAGAGAAATCTGACAGTGGAAGAGATTATTTCTGAGAAGTGAGCATATTTATGCAATGCACGCAGACAAATGCAAGGACAGACGCACATATATAGTGATATTTACAGTTAGCATTTACATGTAAACAACAGTGATTGATCCACAGGAGGAGAGACAAACATGTGGACAGACAGCTGACACGATGAGGCCTGGTGATATTATCCCCACACCTGAACTAATGTACAGTACATGATGAGACAAGAGTGAATAATTAACAACAGATTGATTGCCTTTAAACATTTTCAAAGTACATATAATTGTTTATCATAATGTGCAGATTTAGTTAAGCAAGTTTGATGTGATTAGATAATCCAGTGTTACAGTTAAATTTACTCCAGCGCATTAAAAAGATGACCGATCAAATGTTAAAATGGAGGGAAACGACAGAATGTAACATTTACTGAGCTTGAACTGAGGGTAGGGGATATTTTGTGATAAGATTCTTCTTATTTCAAAGGTTAAAAGCATCTTACCTGCCACAGTGGTGACAATGTAGATAAAACAAACAGAAAATCTTTCAGCTGTGCCCTTATGACTGCAGTCAACCTTTAACTCTCCCTAATTTTCAACTGGTCGGCCAATAAAAATATGGCGATGTAGCATACGTATATAAAATATGTCTTTACATTTACAATATTTAAAACATTTACAATGTCGGCAGCTATGTACACTTTTATGTGTTTGAATGTATAAGATGCCATTTCATTGTCCATTTTAGTGAGAAACACTAACGGCTATTAAAATTGGGGGACAACGTAAAAGATATGTACCTCAATGTGAAATCTTTTTGTGTCTTAAGCGACATGCGAGAGGCATTTGCGTTTTTCAGAAGCTCAGTTTTAAAAGCAAAATCAAAGCAAAGTCACACAGAAACCAGGAAACACATACCACACAATGTAGAGGAAGTTTGCTTTTGTCTACAGTAATATACACAATACAATAAGTAATCGTGTATGGAATGACACCTAATGATTAGATTAACTGATTCAAGATTTGAGTCATGATTTGAGAGTTGGGTCTGATTGCATATGACATGTTCCACTTTAGCCTCAGGTGCAGCAAAATCAAGCTATCGTAGTAAATGTCTCTTGATTTGACTTTGAATGTGTGTGTGTGTGTGTGCGTCTTGCACAGGTGGCTTTTCAGATCCACCTTTTCCCCGAGTCTTCTCGTCCAGCCTGAGCCAGCCTGCGCCCGCAGCGTTAAACAGGGAGGAGTTTTTACAGCTCCAGCCACTGCTCCACCTGAGGCAGGTGATCGCTGCCTGTGTGGAGGTTCATCTAATTTCCCACTCCTCCAGTTGTGTAAAGGACTACTCCGGCTGCTCGGGGTGGGTGTGCAGGCCGTTTTCAGGGCGGGGAATGCTGTGGTTCTCCCAGAAGGCCTTGTGCATCTGGTCCACTTTAGACACCAGCGGTAGACCAATGTCCAAGTGCATCTTCAGGTTCTCCAGCCACTCCTCCAGTTTCGAGAAAGCAGGCCTAAAGATCAAGAAAGCAGATCTCAGTTTAAAACATTTGATTCATTCAGAATTCTAGATATTCATCCTAATAGATCCAGGGTGAGTTGCTAAAGATCATAGTTGTTTCTCACAAAACAATGGAGGGCATAATGCTGCTCAGACCATTACAAAAAATATTGATCAACATCTCTTATTAACCCCATCTTCCATGATAATCAACAGAATTGTGAAAGTGAAACTTTGTACAATTAAAGCGGAAACTTGTAATTGGTTACATTGCACCTGAGTTTAAAATGTGTGAAAGGTGCCACTAAATATTCTGTTAGGCAGAGCTACATCACAAACATTAACAACTCAGCAAATTATGCTGAAATTATTTTGGTAAACTGGCCTTTTGTAAAATGTCAATGTGAATCTATTGTCTGACCGTTTGTCTGCATCGAGGTCACAGCACACAGCAGCTATGGGGAAGAAGGCGGGGGGACAATCAGGGGGACAGAAGTGCTCCAGGAAGCCAGACACGTTCAGGCCGAAGTCCATCGCCCTGGGGAGGTAGTCTGGGTCTGCGTTCACCCTGCCAATTACCTGGAGAGCCCGGGAAAAACAAGAGGAGAGAAAAAGAGTAAGATAAGTTAAACCTGGGTCCTCCTGTGTTGATCTGCTGAAAACCAGTAAACCCTGCAAACTGAAGCTGATCGTTGCCAGGAGACCACAACTACCGGCCTCTCAGAAGCCACATGAAGAAGACTTTGATTTTCTGCTCTCTCTAATCCCTGTAGTATCGCCGGGTTAATGGTGCCCATCTGGGGAAGTCCTACTCTGGGGATCTGAGCGGCTGAATTAAACTTTTGAGCTTAAATGCCGTGGATGGTGTGTTGCCAGGACAAAGGCTTACCACACTTTGGGACTGGATTTTTATTTGGAAAGAAAATATCTGGAATTCTGGAAAAGCTAGACATTTCCATCATAAAATGAAATGGATGTTTTTAAATAATTGGAGGACAGATCACTAAATGTTCCATATTTTGCAGGAAAATCTGGGAAATATTAAGTGAAGTATGAATCAGTTGAATCTTGACGAAGAAGTGAAATAGAGTGAAGAGCAGTTGTGCACAAATTAAAATGAGTCTTGTGGCTGAACGAGTGATGGGAAATCAAATCAACATTTTTTGTATAGGTGGTAACCTCTGGCCAAATGAAATGAGATATTTTGAGACTGTTTAAATGATTTCATTTTTAAATGGCAAGGAAACCAACTTGTAAGCAGAATGGGATGCCTTGGGAAAAAGCTATTACGGAATGTAAGTTCTGCAATCAAACATTACCTCTTGTAAAACACCAAAAACCTGGTTTGGCTTTTATTACCCCAACATTAAAAAGTCACTCACCTCGCAGAGCATGATACCAAAGGAGAAGATGTCTACTCTCTCATCGTAGCTCTTCCCTGGAAAGAGAAAATAACCAAATAAGGCTGTTTGAAGAAATGCCACATTACACAACAAATGTAGTACTGCATTGATTGTAGTTCTCTTCCTCTGAGAAGGTAATTTTCTAATTTAAAAAGATGATTTAGAGATCATACCATGGATCATCTCAGGAGCCATCCAGTAGGGGTTTCCCACCACCGTGTATCTCTTCCTGCGGTCGGGCCTCTTCAGGCCGGGCAGTGTGCCCTGCGAGAATTTCTCCTCAAGCTTGTCGACCACCATGAGGCGAGACAGCCCGAAGTCTGCCACAACCACTGTGTTGTCCTGCACCAAGAAAATTAAACATGTCATTAAATGTTCTAGTTTTTCTCTAAGCATACAGTACATACTGCCTAAGAGAGGGATGTCATAGATATATGCTTCAATGTAGCAGTGTGCAACTAGTTTCAAGCTCGTTCAACAGCTTAAAATTCAATTCTAAGCTTCTAATTGAACTTTTTGTGGATTTTCCACACACTTCAGGAACGATTCAAAGCTTGTGACACATGTACTGTCTCTGTTTGAGTAGGGTACGCTGGAAGTTTCCGCTACCAAGTTACTAGGGAGGAAGGCTTTGTCTGTTAAAGCTACTGCTAAGAAAACTCTTGTTTGTTTTTAAAAGTGACATGTGCACGGTGTTAAATCCCTAAAAAAAACATTATGCACATACGTAGGTATGTCCACACACACATGTACACACATGTACACACACACACACAATGCCTTACCTCTCGTACAAGACAGTTGTGTGAGTTCAGGTCCCGATGGATTATGTTCATGGAATGCAGATATGTCTGAATGACAGATAGATGGACAGATAGGAGAGGACAGAAAGTCAGGAAGAATAAAAAAAGAGAGGCTTTTAGTGGTAATCTAAAACCCATGCCAAGAGGAACAATCCTGCCTTGTTTCCTCTCAAGTAGCTGATGTTGAAAATACAATAATCCAGTCATGCATGACATTCTACATCGTCCCATATCAGGGAAAAACAATCGTCTAATCCTGCAGGAATTCTTGCTATAATTTCCATAGAGGGGATGGAAACAAATGTGCACATTGTTAACAGAAGTGTTGCAGCTCACTAACACGACCACTAGAGGGAGGCAGCAGTGCTAAAGAATCAATGCACCTCTATCTACTGCTGCATATCAAGGAATATTATGGTCTGCAGTGGATTCACAGAAGTACAGTAGCTAATAAAACCAAAGGCACTTTTGGGTCTTTGAACTCACCATTCCAGCAGCTATGTCCTTGGCAAAACTGACCCGCTGGTTCCAGGGATAGTTGCTGTCCTGTGAGCAAAAAATAACAATTCAATGTTATTTCCCTCAGCGGCATCTGCTGATTAATCATAAAATAAAACCATCTAACCATACAATCATCTACAAAATGCAAAGACTCTACCTGAGGCAATACAAAAACACATTTTCTTTACTATTACTAAAACGTCTAATGAATGCATTTTGAATACTGAACAGGAAGTAGACACATTAGTATGTTTACACACACACACACTACCCTCTCACCATTTTCTTGATGAGTTGCCTCAAGGTGCCTCCCTTTATGTACTCTGCGATGAAGTTCAGTCTCTTGTCCTTGTAGAGGACTCCGATGAACTTGAGCACATTTGGATGATCCAGGCAACGCATGACCTTCACCTGATGAAACAACGTCACACAGTTTTACTCACTGAATGCTGCTCGAGGACATTGACAATCTGAGCTGACTATTAACTTTAGTACTTGATTTCTTGCCATTGGAAAGAAAGGCTGATTCCACTCTCATAGACAAATAAATACGAAGCTACAGCCAGCAGCTGGTTAGCTTATCTTGACTGGAAACAGGGAAACAGCCTCCCTGGTTCTGTCTGAAGGGTTTTGTTCTGGACTATTGCAAGCAACTTTGTTTTTAGGAGGGTGACGAGACGTCTGGAAAAATCTGAGACAGTCTTCAATAATGAGCCGTGGTCCTCTATTTTTTATTAGTCAAAGCGTAATAAAACATGAAATACTAATGAATGAACATTACTTCTGTGTTAAACACAGAACTGGATTCTATGTGAATAATGGCTTTTGTTTAGTTTATTTGCCAAATACACTGAGTCACACATAGATTAAAAAAAACTGTGCATGGTGGTGACGTTAACTGGATGTTGTTGAATGAAACATTACCTAGGGAAATTTCAACAATCCATGGCTGACATGGAGCTAGAGGTATTCTTCATCGTAAAGACACGATCTTGCTTCTATACTTTTCATCTTGATAAGAAATCAAATTAGTTTATTTCACAAAATGTCAAACTATTCTTTTACCTTAAGTATGAACATTTGAGAGTCCAAAAAAGGTTTAAAATGTTTTCCTAATTGAATGAGATGTACCAAAAAGATGGATAGCCAATCGGCCGATAAGTGTAAACTTAGCCAACAGTCATCTTCACAAACTGACATTTGAATATCAATTTTCATTGATTTCGTTTTTTGATGACATCACAAATCCCACAGCACATGCTCGCACCTCTTACAGTTTTAACTCTGTTTATTTGAAATGCAACAGAGAAACATCCTGTATAATTGAGAACTACTAAATAAACTCAGAGTGTAAGTGTTCGCGGCATGACTGCAGTATGTCTGCAGTATGTCTGCAGTATAACACTGCATCAAACATTTCCCTCCCTGAGGGTTGGGGTGAGTAGGAAGAGGAGGCAGGCCACTATTACACACCGATAAACCTGAAGTATTACCCTTAAAGTTGCATGATGTCTTTGTCTGAAATGCCTGCTTGCATTCCTTACTCAGAAAAGATCACAAGAGACTCAATCATTTGAGACTCGGGCTCAGGTTTCATTGTGGTCAGGTTTCTTTTATAGCCGTTACACCAATTACATAGCAAGGACTCTGTGTTATCGTAACCTAAAAATAAATTCATTAGTCCACACATAAGGGAACAATTTTCATGAACTTCAAACCTCCCAATTAGAAGGATTTTAATTGGATGAATGAGTCTACTATACTGAACATTAAACAGGAACAGAAGTTATTCAGATCACGGGGAGAACATCATTAAACAAGTCCCACAGAAGTCTTAACTTCTGTGTCTGAGTCACTCTGTTATCTTTTCAGATTAATGGAAGGACCGGAGAAAGATGACGCTCTGTGTGGGAGGCATAATGAGTTTTGCTCATCTATCATTTTTGGGGGAAAGAACTGTTTTAACACTTTCCTTGATGTCCTTTTTCAGAGGTGGTTTCATTTATTTGGTCCAGAAACTCTTCCTTTATTCTTCTGTGTGATACATTCACACAGAAGTGCTGCTTACTTTAGCTACTATACTGACAATCATTACAAAAAAACATTTGTTTTTCTTCCTCAGCACAGATTTTCGCAGCTGGACCAGGAATGAAAAACCTTCAGCAAACTTATTTTACTATCATTTGTAAGTACTAACTGCCCTCATTTTTTGGAATAAAACTGTTTGTATTCAAGAAAATATATTTTTGTTTTTTAATGCTCTGAGGTCAACACCTATTGATCTCAGATTTCTGTTTATGACAGATAGTTGATTCAACCTCTGAAAAGATAACTTGAGTAAATCTCACACTCCCTAATGACGTAACATCTGGGATTGCCTGTCTCCACTCACCTCTTTCAGGAATGTTCTCTGTGTCTCGTCATCAAAGCGAATCAACTCCTTCATCACCATCACCTCCCCGGTCTCCTTGTGGGTCACCTATAACATACACAATGATGCAAATAAATTAAGCTGAGCTGGCAGTCTGAGGGGAGACTCTGTCAGCATGGGAAACACATTTTTTTCCACTATGTGTAATAAAGACAAACATTTGAACCTCCTGCCTCTCCACACTTCTCTTACTTATCTCAATGCTGCCACCTTCTGGATAATGTTTGTATGACTACCGTTGTTCTCTAAACACAACATTCATGTAAATGTATTTTACATACAGCCATATGTGTCTCTGCCACTCAAACCCACCTTGATGGCCTGTCCAAAGCAGCCCTTCCCCAGCACCTCTCCATGGATGAGGTCAGATGGGCGGAAGATGCGGTGCGTCTGATTGGACACGACGCGCAGCGACTCTGATCGATTAATGTCCTTCCTCTGGGAGATGGGGGATGCTGCGTTGCTGGAGCCGGGTGACTTATCAATGCTGCAGCTCCGCCTGGAGGGAGGGGACAGGAGGAGAAGGAAGGGAATATAAGGGTGGAAAAGAGGGGAGTAGAGTATTTGATTAGTGATTGCTGCTACTTTTATTCTTATTTAGTTTAGGGTGTCAGGGTATTTATTGACAGTACAATGCCTGGACCATACAGTAATAGGCTCACTGTATGAGCTTAAGGAGCCTACCATTTATACTTGACAAAGCATTACACTAACTCTACCCAAAATATAAAAGAGCAATACAACATGATACATCAGAAGAAAAAAAAATCTCAGCGTTGGTTACTTAAAATGTGCAGATATAGATTTTACATTTCTGCTTTGCCAGTGTTCCTCAATCTTTAACACAGTATATATCGTATGCAACTACACGTAAGCAGTACAGTCTTCTTGTGGCCATTCAATATTTACTCTTCACATTAAATGGTAGAAAGTAGAGCAAAACTGCAATTAGCATCATTAAAATTGATTTCTTACGTGATGATGCGGGATCTCAGGCTGTCGGGGATGGGGGGCTGTGTGATGGGCAGGTTGGGGCTGGGGCCCTCTGACAGAGGGGTGGTCAGGGGGCCGTTCACTCGATCCTCAGCCTCCGAGGAGCCTCCCTCCGGTCCCGGACTGTGAGGGTCGTGCTCGATGGTGAGCTGCAGCCGCCGGCTGGTCTCCTGGATCAGCAGGTCGATCTGGAGAGGACGAGTTCAGGTTAGAGCAGCAGAGATTGCTTTAAAGCTAGAGAGATGCTCTCATGGAAGAAGTCTGGTGAAATGCTTTATATAGTGCTACAATGAGATCGAGCTTCTCATTTGCATATTTACAGTGAGGTAAAATCTCACCTCATCCAGAGGGACATTTTGAATGGGTGTCCCGTTGATTTCCAGGATCTTATCTCCAACGTGAATGGAGTTTTTCACATCTGGACTGATGCACTCTGTGTCCACCCTAGATACAGAAGAACAATAAGCAGAAGAACAAAATCATAAATCAAGCACCTTCCTGCACACAGACCTGAGATCTGACAAGTCTCAGCTAATTTAAATAACAGTGACTCATACTTTCTGCTCATTTCCTTTCCCATTCCACTCTATTGTATAATTTAAATGAACCTCATCTATCACACTGTCTAGCTTTTTTCATCCTTTGTCCTCGAACGTACTGACCTCTCCTTTCGTTAGTTTCTCTTCTCTTCACACAATGACTATCCACAATATTTGACATACAGATATGGATGGATAGACTCACTGTGAGACTCTGATGGTGGGTCCATGTTCAGGACTGTAGCCGCCGGTGGGGCTGAGCGGCTGGTCGATGGACACGGAGAAACCTCGCCCTCTGCGTCCGTTGTTGCCCTCGGCAGAGGCTGGGATGGACAGGAGTGTGACTGTGTGAGGGATCCGCGAGCATGACGAGTCCGGCAGCGACACCGGTGTCACGATGGTCTGGTAGTAACAGTGACCGCTGGAGCAAGAGGGGGATTGAGGAAAAGTGAGGGTGTTAGAAAATGATTGGTCGTGCTTTTTACAGCGCGACGGCTTCCACAGATTAAAAATGTTTATGTATTTATTGTCAAAGCATTTAATGTATTCATTGCTATCGGGATGTTAAGAGCATTCCATGGAATATAACAAAAAGTGTTTCTGAAATAAATTACATACCCCACCTTTAAGTTCTTATTACAGCATTTTTTACAGCATCACATGTTGTTTACAAGATGTTTTAGAAAACACTGAGCTCACTATCAGAATAATAAAATAGCTATGAAAGAATTGAAGACTAATACATCAGAGCTGAAATAATTCGATTCAAATGACATTTTTACAGAAAACATAGCACACTTTGACTCAATTTGGTTGACCTCTCAATAAATGTAATGATCTGAGACAATCACATTGTCATCATCCACTTCCACTCTTCCACTCTTCCACAGAAGAGGACAAAGGCTGTTTTGTTCTTATGTATTTCTGTGTAGTGTAGCTTGTTGCTCATTGAACTCTGACTCTCACACTGACACAACCCCGGAGCTCCACAGGAAAAGAACAACCTGAACCTGAATCACGAAAGAAACGGGAAACTACCGATTTTCCAGGTTTATGATTAAAACCATCTAAACTGGGACTGTTAGCTGTGCTTGCTGTGAATTTCCACCATGCATTGAGTCATTTGTCACCACAGTTGGTCGTTATGTCACCAAAAAGTCCTTTGAAGCCCAAAATAAGCTGCATATATTTAAGATTGTGTCAATCAACGGCAGCTTTGGAAGCTTTTTTGTGGCCATACTGCACTTCAAAGGGATTTAGAGGATTAGTTTGTTTCAGAAGAGAGAATATTAAAACTAAAAAAAGAAAATAACGGTTTGGTAAATTAAGGGAATCAGAGCTAACATACCACAAGCTGAAAAAGGCTTTGATTTGTTAGACAGTAGACAAATAAAGAAATGTAACAAGCTAACATCTCAGACTGATTTGAATCTTGACTTTGATATTTGGGCGTTTGCATGTCTTTTAATATTGTGCTTGAGGCTCACCAGTAGAGTTTGGATCTCTCCACCAGAGCGTAAGTGTCTCCATCACCGATGAACGTCCTGCAGTTCAGACAGGTGAAGCATTCTGGGTGATATTTCTGTTCCCCTGCGACCTGATGAGAGATAACACACAGTTAATAAGACATTCTGCTGTGTACATGCTGTCAAAATCAGATAAAATCGGATGTCAACATGATATTTGTTTGATCTCGAGTGGAAAGCTCTGCAGGGGGGGAATTCATTACAGCGTTTTTGATGTTACTGTAGTCAACGGCAACATGAGGCTTTAATAAGTGGTGGGAGAAGTAGGGCGAGGCCTGGTCACTGAGGGTAATACTGAGAGCAGGGGGATTGGATTTGCAGCTTCCAGATCCCCCTCCGAGCTTAGAGCCGAGGGAATTGAGTTATGGCCAAAAAGCAGAGCAGGCATTGAGCAGATTAATCACACCGGCAGATCTGGGGACGACGCTGCCGCTGGAGCTCTCAGCTCTAGATGTTCTACAGACCAACGGGGGAGAACCAAAATGATCAAATAAATCACAAAAAATTAAAACATCAACTCCAGCTAGGGCTGTGTGATATGGAGAAAATCATATATAAAGATATTTCTGACCAAATACTTGATATTGTGACAACATTGTAGGGTAGACTTTTGGCGCTTTCACATACAAATTCCACAATGCACATTTTGCTAAATACCCACATCATCAGCTAGATATTTCAGAACATTAAATCAATTTTCTGTTATACAGGGTTTAAAATCATCAAAGGCTCCAGCGAATAACAACCTTAGTCTTTTATGGCTGCCCTTTAAATCTTTGTCCTTGCTTGTTGTGACTCTGATCGACTGAGACATCGATAAGTGGCCCACACCTTCTCATATATCAATATCGACCCCTTTTAACTCCTTCAGGTAAGCTTGCGCCCATCCATGCAAATGACCAACCCACTCAATGCCTAATGACTTCTATGATTAAACATGAGCAAAGATGTTAAGCACCAAAGGTCGAGTCCACCGGAGCTGTTCGCTCCCTCGAGGCTGCGCTTGTGGTCTAATTTTTTGCTTTGAGTGGCAGAAAATGTTTGGAGGGAGTGGGCCCTTTGACAGCACTTCTCAACTGCAATGATCTGCAATGCTAATTTAGCTCACTAAGAGTGAGGGGGGGCATTTTACGGAAGGGCTGCTGAACAAAGAACAATCAATGAAATGTAAACCAAAAAAAATCTAAGACATTTTGGCAATGTTTAAGGCACAAATATATTACAATACAAAAAATATCTAGATCGTAGAAGTTTCATTTATTTTTTTACATCTAACCAACAGCAAAATATCAGCTTATGGACAAAGCCACAATTCTGTGCAGCAGCCTTAAAAGTAACTTCAGAACTAACAATCACCCGTAAGTACGAAATGCTACTTCTAAATGGTGCATAACGTGGAAAAAGATGGTGTAACTGAGACAAAAAGGAAATGTGAAGATCGAAGAATCAATAAAATCATTGCATACAGCCATATGTCTGCTGCCCCACCCTCCTTGCAGAGCAGCAGTGAAACCACGAGCCAACACTGACAGATAAACACATGCTGACGGCCCTCAGGCTGCAGGGAGGTGCGCTGTACACGCATATATTAACTGATTATTCAGTAATTAATCTGAGCAGTACCTTCCAGCTAAATATCAGGAAAACATGATACCACTTGGCTTCACACATAGACAACATCCCTGATTTACTGTGATTTCTGAATGAATGGTTTCCTATCTTCAATGGTCCTGCCTTTGGACTGAGAACCATTAAGACTTATTTTCAATATTGTTTAAAATGGTCAAGTTGAAAACACAACATCATAGCAGCGAGACCATGAGGGGACGGAGAAAGCAAGAGGAGAAAACAGATGTAATCACGGTGTAATGGACAAGGCAGGAAAACAGCTGCAGGGCTTATTGACCGACTTAATTTCTTTATTCGTCCTCCAAGCAGCCTCATAAAATTGAGCCATAAACAATTACTGTCAGACATCGACAGGGAGAATAAACACAACGCGAAAGTTTGAAAGATAGATGAGTTAAGATTAAAGGATATCTAACGATTTAACCAAAGCAAGATTATTGTGTCAAAAGAGGATTTAAAAGTAATACAACAAGTTTATAAGGAGATTATGTGCTTTCAATTATGCATCAGAGCTGTTTGTAAGTAGCTGTAAATGTGTATATGTTCTGCCTCTGTGTGTTCCTTAGGTGCAGGCCTGCAAATAATTACGACAGGAAGAGAGGACAGCTGGACGGAGATAAAAAGGATGTGTGGCTCTGCACAACCTGACACTGTGGCTGCCATTTGCTTGCCAGGCAGGCATGACACACACACACACACACACACGCAACAAAAACACACAATATACACACACAAAACACACACCCACGCATGTCTCTAAAACCCAATTTGACAGGCGACAGCTGCTGTTTTTAGGACATACTTCCTCTCCAAAGTTAAGGTGTAAAACAGACAGATACTCCATGTGATATTAAACCATGTGATTGCTTGACAGCTTGATTAAAGAAACATGTACTAACACAGCGCCATCAAGCCTCAGAGAGTGTACTCCATGATTTGTCTATTAGCCCATCTTACTCACGAGTGTGTGACTGGGTTTTAGCAGGCCAAGTAGCCTCATGGCCTTTTCCAGTGACAACAAACCAGACTGTGTACACATGTCACCCGGGGAAAGGGTGAGCGGGTTGACGGGTTGCCGGAGTAACTAACTCAAGTTGCAGCTCAATGCTCAGTTGCCATGTGTGATGGGGATCTTGGTCACATATTCATCCATACTAATATTGTTCTTGATATGTGTCCCCGTTTATGGAAAAACTGATGGAAATGTAGCCGAATACAAATTGAGTGCCGGCTACCACAGTCACTTTGCAATGCATCAGTCGACGTAAAAATGGCCGCCACTCTGCCAATGTATCAGACATGTATTTCAATCCAAGAGTTATTTTCCCTCCTCAGATATTTTTAATAAGAGCCCTGTATTGGGTTGTAACATCTATTTGAGAAATTAGTCATTAAATAAATGAGGTCGTTCTAAAATGTATTAAATATCTTTCAAAAAAGGCTTTCACATGTTGAATCAGTTGCTAGGAATAAGCGGTAGCATTATTCATGAAGTACATAGGCAGAAACTCACTGTAGCTTCACAAAGGTGTTTAATATTTGGCAAAAAAAGTTTTAGGGGCGAAACAATATTGCACCTCAATCCTTTAAATCTAGGTATTGTTTGTTTGTGCATATATGTGTATATTAGAGTTAGCAGTCATGTACTTTTGTAATTTGGGGTATGTTGTTTCATTTTGGTGAAACTTAAATTTCAAATAGCCCCAGTTTTTGTTCAATGGTCAGGACAGACATGTCTATATTCGATATTATCTTTTTTATCTTTCGCTCAAAGTTGCACGCAATAGTTTTACCTGGCTTTGTCTGAGATGAAATAGCAACTGATCTCCACGTAAAAAAATAGTAAAACGTATGTTTAAATTGGAAGATCTGGTACAACCAGCTCTTAAACAAGGACAAATACTGTGTATACAGTATTTTACAAAAAAAACATGGGGGAAAAGTAAAACAAATTATTAATTTAGTACTAGGCCCTCTAATTTCTTACTTGAGTGATCGTTTTATGACCCTTTTAGATTCCTCTTTCACCCCCTATGGATTCCTGACTTCCAGGCTAAGAAGATAATCTTTATTTTGCACTGGCGGGGTTCACTCGCAATGAAAAAAAACTACAGGCGATGGTCGGGAAGCTTGGCGTGTCAGGGCCCTTAAGCTTTATTTATTTTAAACGATTTATATGTGTGACCTTAGCTGTGGAATGTGAAAACCCCCTTTTAAGTGATTTAAAGGAATTTATGGCGATGCTAATGCTCTCATTGACACTAAACAGCTCAGAAACATGTTGGTAGAAAGTCAGGGATGCTTGATAACTCATTGAGGCCATCAGTACATGTGTTGACTTTTCCTGAGCTCAGGTCTGTGTAATCACTTCTCTGGATATTTTAATGAGTTAGCACGTCTGGGTTAGTGTTAAGATTTGAGGTGATAACTTAAAAAAGTGTTAAGGTCTAAGTAAAGGAGTAAAATTTGATAGCATTACAGTGTTAAATACTATAAATACGTATTTTAACTTTTTGTTAAGTTGATAAAAACTCAAAATCTCCCTTTTTTTTTTTTTAGTAACTCTTCATATTTGTCAAGTTTCAAACTGATTCATTTAGTTGATGTCATGTTCTACACATTTCAGATTTTCCCCGAGACATTTTTTATTTTACTCACATCATTTCACATTTCCCTTACTGTCAACAGGCGTGAAACACAAGAAGAGCAGCAATAGATGCCAACTGTTAAACCACAAATGAGAGGAGTGATTCACTCAATCACAGTGATTGAGTGAATCAGGTGGTGAAACATCTGAGACATGTAGGAACTGTTGAGTTGGATGAGTATTTGTCAGAGATGATTATTTCCCACTTATGCATCGGTATCTGGTTGAATAAAAGCATCATAGTCCAGTCATTTTGGTCCAATTATCATACAAATTACTATTTGTTGACTATTCAGACAGCCTGATACGGGCGTCTTCTGCTTAGGGACTTCTTTGAAAAACATTTTTTTTTTTAAAGATCACTTAGTTGAGCTTAAACTATTATTTTAGCTATTATTTGAATATCTTGCCAATTGAACATTTTATTAAAAAAGTAAACTGCTTCCAGCCTCTTTAACATTAATATTGGCTGGCTGTATTCAAACTCTTTGATTAGAAACTACCTATCTTTGTGTGTTGAACAATTTTGTGACACAAATTGTTAATTTAAAACCTGTTTAGTTCTCTGTTGTTGAACACTCAGAGGTTGGATGACTTGTACTCTATACACGTGTGCAATGAGTTTTTACTTAGCAGGATCTCATCAGGCACATGCCTTCTGGTCTCCTAACCTCAACAAGTCCCACATAAACACCAGCTTCACCCTCTGACTTCACCTCGCTCCGGCTAAATGTGGAACGATGAGCTCATAACAACACTGCTGAAGGTGCTTCTGAATGGCCTTGCTGAATTATG